GGCCCCTCTTGTGCGGGCGGCCAGTGGGCACCCACTTCCCCCACTGCCGCCATCCTGGCTCCAAGAATTCTCTCCAGAACATGTCCACCTTGCAGCAGTGTGGTGGCTTCACTGTACCAGTCTTGAGGAGGACCAGTGTCCAGCATCCATCCTGGGTGAGGAAATCAGTTGGTTCCAGCTGTGGAAGCCTCATGGAGCTGCAGCGGCTGTGCAGGCGCATTGTGGGCTCTGCAGGAGGGGGTTGGGAGCCACGAGACTCACCCATTCCTCCTTGGGAATCTTTGAATTCCTGTTGTTGAGCCTCCATCTTCACTGAGGGCCAGTCATCAACTGTTCAAGTGTTCAATTATCAATAAGCTGAAGTCTGTAGAAGGCCATAATGGCCCTGCTTTAAGTGGTTCGCTGCTCCTGCAGCTCACCACACTTTCTCTGCCTCCACCGCCATCTTGGATCCTCCTTGTTATGTTTTCTTTAGGGTATATTACCAGTTTTTTCTTTTCTAATGGGTCTGTTCAAGTGTTTGATTTCAATCTCTGTCAGTTGGGTGGGTTGTTAGTTTCTAGATATTTGTCTTTTTCCTCTAGGTTTTCATATTTGTTTGAGTATAATTTTTTATAATATTCCATTGTTAACCTTTTTATTTCAGTGTGTTCTGTTGTGACATTGACCCTTTCGTATCTTCTTTGAATTAGCAGTCTATTTTTTTTTCTTTTTTGTTTTCCTTTGTTAGCTTTGTTAGTAATTTATCAATTTTACCTTTTTGAAGAGCCAATTCCTGATCTTGCTTATTAACAATAGTTTCAACTATTTTTGTGTTTTCTATTTAATTTCTTTCTGCCCTGATATTTATAATTTCCTTTCGTTTAGAGGTTGTTGGATTTTCTTGCTGCTCTTTTTCAGCATATTGAAGATGTTGTATAAAAGAATCAATTGTCATTTTTTCTTTCATTTTGATATATTTGCTTATTGCTATGAACTGACCTCTAAGTACTACTTTCAGTATTTCCCAGAGGATTTGGTAATTTGTGTTTTCACTGTCATTTGTTCTAAGAAACTTTGTTATTTCATTTTATTTTTTATTCCAAAATATCCTGTTTGTTGATTTCTAATTTTGTAGCATTATGGTCTGAGAAAATGCTTTTTATGATTTCTGTGTTTTTACATTTATTGATGCTTGCTTTGAGACCTAGAATTTGATCTTTTCTGGAGAATGTTCCATGGTGAACCTTGGAAAAGAAGGTATACTGTGCTTTTTGGGGTGCATTAGACTGTATATATCTATGACATTCATTTGGTTGATTGTGTGGTTTAATTTTTCAGCATCTTCTTTTGAGTTTCTTTTTGGTAGTTCTCTCTTTCCTTGAGAGTGATGTATTAAAGTTTCCTATTACTATTGTAGTAGTGTCTATTTCTTTTTTCAGTTCTGATAATGTTTGCTTTACATAAGTTGCAGTTCTCTCATTTGGTGCATAGATATTTATTATGGTTATGTCCTCTTGTTCTATTGACCCTTTTAAGCATTATATAGTGACCTTCTTTGTCCTTTGTGATGGTTTTTACACTGAAAACTGTTAGAGATTAATATTGCTACTCCTGGTTTTTTCTGGTTGCCTTTTATTTGCTTAGTATGTTTTTCCTTTACCCTTTTGTTTTCGCCTTTTTTTTTTTTATCTTCATTTTTCAGGTGTGTCTCATTTAGACAGCATATTGATAGGTTTTAGTTTGTTGTCTAGTTTGCTCCTCTTAAATGGTGCATTTAAATTATTTATATTCAGTATAATTTCTCAGAGGCAAGGATTTATTGGTATCATTTGTTGAGTTCTTTTGGTGTTGCTGCAGGTTACTTTGGTCCATCTTTATTTCTGTGGCATCTCTGTGAGAAGGACTTCCGCAGTATTTCCTGCAAAGCTGGTCTTGTTTATACAAACTCCCATAGGTTCTGCTTTTCTGAGAATATTTTAATCCCTCTATCATATTTCATGAACAGTTTTGCTGGGTACCGTATTCTTGGTTGACAGTTAAATCCTTTGAGTGTTTGATATATGTCATTCCATTGTCATCTTACTTTTATGGTTTCTACTGAGAAACTGGCTCGTAATCTTACTTGCTCTCCTTTATAGATTACTCTTTATTTTCCCTAGTTGCGTTCAGAATTCTCTCCTTACCTTTGGTTCTGATAAATTTTACTATGCTGTCCCTTGGTGTTTTTCTTTTGGGGCCTATTGTATGTTGGATTTGCTCAGCTTCTTGAATGTATAGTTTCTCATTATACCTGGAAAGTTTTCTTCTCAAAACTCTTCCACAGCTTCTCTGTACTTTTGTTTACTTCTTCCTGTTCTAGGATTCTAATTATGTGCATTTTTCCTCTTGACGGTGTCCTACATTATTCCTTGCTTTCTTCATTTTCCTTCCTTTCTGATTCTGTTTTTTTTTTCTGGCCAGTCTGTAGTGAGAATTCTATATTCTATTTCACCCGTTCTGTGTTCCTTCTCTTCAGTTCTTCTCACCTGTCCCTCCAACATGATGACAGCTTCTGAGACACTGGTCCTCATGTTCTGGATTGCAGTTTCTTATTTTTCTAGAGTTTCCTGATTCCTCTTTTGTTTTATCTGCACTTTCTTGGTTTGTTTTTTAAAATTCCTCTGGATTTTTGCTTATAGAGCCCCATAATTCTTCAAGTTTGTCTTTCACCCAATGAAAATATTTCATCATTGTTCTTTTTGAATTCTCTGTCAGAAAGTTCCATCAGACTTTGCAACTTCAAGAAATACATTGATTCCGTTTTGATTACCTTTTGAGGGTGACATCTTGTTTGGCTTTGTGCAGTGTGTGAGGTAGCCTGCCTCTTCCATGTCATTGCTGTGATAAGAGTTTTTCTTGCCTGGGGGCCTAACAGGTCCCTTGGTCTAATGACATTGGCTTGGGAGTTCACTGCTCTAGAGAAGGAGAAGACAGCTCACCTGCCTGAATTTCTCTCTGGTCACTGGACTCACTCCTCTATGACTTTAAAGCCTAAGAACCTGGGTGGAATATTGCTGTGAGTCAGAATAGATTCAACAACAGCGAGGAGAGGAACGGTGCTCAGTGACACGTGATTAAGCATTTGGATGATAATTGAAAAGTTAGTGGTATGAACACACTGGCACCTCCACAGGATGGAGGCATGGCTGTAGCCTTGAGACCCTGTTCTCTGTCCACCATGTTCCCAGTGAGTCAGCACTGGGGCGGCAGCAGGAAGAGAGGACATAGCATGTGTGGAAAGAAGAGGGCATTGTTTTTGCCTCTGCAGGTGAGGTTCTACAGGCTGTCACAGAGGAGGACATCCCTCAGCAGCTGGTGGAACGGTTGCAGGAAGAGAAGAGGCTGGAGGAGCGGGAACAGCTGGAAGCCCATCTCTACATGCAAGTGCAGGTCAGCCGCCAGTGTCTGGAGCCACTCACTGCTTAGATAAGCTTGGTCTCTGCCCAGGAACCAAGCTCACAGCTCCAGATGACTGCACTCTGAGCACCTGGGGGCCACTGAGAGTGTTTTTTAACATCTAGCCTCTTTGGTTACTTAGTGGGGATATGAAATGGCTGCTCAGGCTATTGTCCTGAGGATTTGGGATGTCAGTCAAGGTAAATAATAAAGATATAGCATTAAAAGGAACCTGGTCTACCAGGAGAACGGTGGTATATTCAGTGTTTGAGTGCTTTGAGGTGTGAAGGGAAAGCTGAGCTCGAGGAGGAAGAGCAGAATCAGAGAGTTTGGTGCCAGGTGGAAAAGGAGGGGGCCTGCCAGGCCCAGCACAGGTGACCATAACCAACAGTGAGGAGGAAAGTACGCTCCTTCTCAGTATGCTCATCTCTGAGGCTTTGGCTCTTCGCTCGATGTTAGAAAACATGCCAAAGCTTTTAGGTCGACCAGCTGAACATCTGTGAGAGGCACAGTCCTCACATAGCACCCTTTGTAGTTCTTTCTCCTTGTGGATGAGTGAAGGTAGGTGAGTGCCGAGACTGAAATTTGAAACATCTGTGTAAATAAATATCTGACTTAGTTCTCGGTCATCAGATGAGTCTTTTCCTTGGGTCTTCTGAAGCAATTTCTATGAAACTGCAGTTCATTCTTTCAATGAGGGCTGGTTTCCTTTTGTGGCTTTTGTGAGCTCTGCTCTGTGCTGTCATTCCTGTTTGCAGATAGTCACTGAGGACCAGTTTTGTGGCCACCAAGGAAATGATATGTATGATGAAGAGAAAGTGAAGTACTCTGTGTTCAAAGTGTTGAAAAACTCCACACTTGTTCAGTTTGTTCAGACTCTGTCCCAAACCATGGTGAGTCTTTCTGGACTGTTGGGGACACTTCTTTTGATGCCCAAGTTCCATCTTTGTACTGAGCTAGGAAAAATGGGATCCTTCTTGGTTAGCCCTTTGTCTGGCCTTGTCCCTAAATGAGGCACATGACTCAGTCCCGTTTCCCACCTTGAATTGTGGCTAGAGGAAACCCCTCAGCTCTGGTCTGTGGGATAAGTAAACTCAGAGGCTTCCAGAAGCATGTTGCTGTCATTTTGATCTAATTTTTCAAGTAACAACAGCAAAGAAGAAGTTTGAGCATGAATGTTATTTATTTGGGGTAAAGGGAGAGTGGTGGCAGTGGATAAAACAGATGTGTTTTCTAATTTCAGTGATCTTGGAAGGCAAATCACTGAACAAATATAAGGGGAGGGTTATGATTTATTTGGATTTGTCTTTGTCTTGAAATCATAATCATTCATTGCTGTGGACTTACAATGTGAGCTGGATTTATTTTCATATCTTGTCAGGGATTTCCACAAGATCAGATTCGCTTATGGCCCATGCAGGCCAGGAGTAATGGAACAAGACGGCCAATAATACTAGATAATGAAGTTGATGGTAGTAAGACAGTAAGTATTTTGGTTGTCAGTCACTTCTCTGGCACTCAGCAGAAGGCTTTTTGTTCTCTGCCAGTCCTGTGCCTGACCTCCCTTTGAGTCTGGATATTTTCTACAGTACTCAATTATCTTTTTGACCCTGTTGTCAAAGAAAGCCATTAAAATCACCTCAAAGCAATATCTCTCTTGGAAACAGATGGTTGAACTCAGCAATAATGAAAACCCTTGGACAATATTCCTGGAAGCAGTTGATGCTGAGCTGGCTGCTAGTGGGACAACAGTACCCAAGTTTGACAGAGATGGTAAGTGTCCATAAAACACCCAGCTGACTTGAGAGCTGAGACCTTGCAATCCTAGCCTAAACACACAGGAGTAAGAAACACAACATTGATTTGATCTAGAAATGCTCAGATATCTTGATGACATCAACACTGATGGTCTCTTCTGAGCAGATGAAGGAGGTGGCGTTGTTGAAGTTATGTGAACTGAGTAGTCTCAGCCCCAGTGTTTTGCTCATCATTTGGGTCTTATATACCCAGATCACATGGAGCGGGGATTGGCTCTCATGTCCTGTCAAGGGCTTTTTTTAGTTAGGTGCCATCCAGTCATTTCTGACTTGTTCACAAAAGTCCATTTGCCTGTGGCAGCAAATTTGCCCACTATAACACATCATTGCTGAAACCGAGGAGGACCTCACGCACTTGCTGCAGAGGGTCAAGGACTGCAGCCTTCAGTATGGACTAAGGCTCAATGTCAGAAAGACAAGATTCTCACCACTGGACCAATTGGTAGCATCAGGATGGATGGCGAAGAGATTGAGA